AATTTACTAATAAAAGTTACAATAGGCAAATCTCAAAATGAAATGAGTAATTGCTCATTTGCTCTTCCCTTGGCTACGCCGCTGGAGAAAAAGACGTTTCTATGTGTTACCTTTCAATTGTTGAAAATCGTAGACAGTTAGCTACTTTCATTCTTGACTTATTCAATTTTTTTTTTTTATTGACTACATGTAGTCTCATGTTTACAACAGATTATATCATGTAACCATACACTATAGAAAACTTTTCGGATATTTTCTTACTTGGTATGTGATCTTTTCTTATTTTCTCTCGAGATTGTTTTTTTGATTGAATTTTATATAATTAGTAGAGACTATCTAAGCGACGTATAACTATTTGGTACGTGCAAGTAATAGATATCTGATCTTTATAAGTTTGACTGAATACCTCAATCCTTTTTTTCTCATCGTATATCTAGGATAGCAACTCAAATAAATAACATTAACCTTATTATCAGTCATAATAGTCATATTTGGGTGATTTTTTTTGTATTATTTGGCCTATATATCATATTGGAATCCAAAATAACTAAGCGTCTTCGTGAAAATAGTTTGGTAAAATATACTTTGATAAACGATTAGTCACTCCAAGATTGAAACTTCTTGTCGGGTAGGTAGCAACTAGAGGCAAAAATTCCAATCGTTTTAGTTGTAATGCAACAACAACAACAAGAGTTGAATACATTTATTCAACGTATTAAAAGCTATACTATTTGAGCAAGTGCTTAGAACAATCTGAAAGTAGTAGCAAAAGTATTTTCACTTCTTAGAAAAAATTTTAAAGAAACTTTCTGTCTATCAGCCGATAAGAAAAATGATTCTGTACTATTATATCATTCTTCGACGAACGTTATAATAATAAAATTTCACTAAGAGTTATGTATCTATCATCCATGATGATAACATTAGTTCGCATTGTCTTCGATATGTATTGTTCCCTTGATTTTATTTTGTTTTTCTGTCTTTTGTTTCGTCTTGTTTCTTGTCTCTTCTAATGCTAAACTGTCTACATATATTAGAGTATTCGGAAAGGAGAAGCGGCGGAACAATGAACAAATACAATTCCTATGAGAAGTAGTTTCGTGAACACAAACAAAAAATAATTTACAATGAATAATTCTTGTTTGCATATTAAGTGTGGTTCACATGTTGATATAGAAGTGAAAAGTTTTCTCTATTCACTTAAAATAGAGATGAACAATGTCATATTTCAATCTAATTTTATTTCTTTAACTTTCTTGAGAACATGATTCTCATTTAAATTTAATAGAAAAATTATTTTTTAACTTGATTCAGAAAAAATAGCAAATATCTACAAAATCACCCAGTCAATATGAAAGCTATTTTGCTTAGCATATTAATTATTTGTGCTTTTTCTTGTTTTCAAACATTGTCACTTTGAGAAAATAAAGGGATTGTATTATTTCATTTTCTATTCATCAATCGCTCATGAATCGGAAATTAATTCAAAGCTTATGAATTTTTCCATTATTTGTATCTCTACAATAACAATTCGAATAAAGCTGAAATTTTAGTAAAAATTCGTTTAAGATGTCAAATATATATATTCTGAATGTTAATCTACACTAAATTGAAAATAATAGAGATATGAACATTTTTTTAATATCCTTTATCTGCAGATGGTTGCACATTAATAGTGAAGAGAAAAACCAAACAGATGTTGTTGAAATTTCATTATTGAAATATGAGTTGAAGAATGATATAATAGCACAAAATAATACTAGATCGTTGCTATTATTAGCTCACTTAGAGAGACAGTTTCATTAAGATTTCCACAAGGATTTAAACTACTTCTATTACTAATTTTGAATTCTTCTAAATATTTGCAGAGAGAACATATGATGATTTTCATATGATTACACAAACTGCAAATTTTTGTTTCTGCCCCATGTAATGTTTAAGCGAGCAAACATTCTATTCGTAATCATAGGTCATAAAACATTATCTATGGTCTCTAATCGATTGTTTTCGATAAAAGTTTGTTGATTGTACTTTTCACTGCTTTGAATGGTAAGTGCAAATTACACAGAATAAGTTGGATTATCTTAGATTCGAACTAGCTATATATCTCAAACAGTAACAAATTATGAGCATTATACAAGTCCTATAACTGATAAAGAAAATACGTTTACTTGCTGTATTCTCGATCTAATACTATTCAAAAAAAAGAATAAGGATATTCGTTCAGACTAATCATTCTCACCTAGATCGATACCAAACCATTTTTTTTCTGATAATAAATTTGATATACAAAATAAAAACACAATTATTGATAATTAAAGATTCGTATATTTTTTTTTCGATTTTGTATTTTAATTAATACAAATTCAATAAAAAATTTTAAAAAATTAAAAAGATGAAATTTAGTGAAAATGACCTGAAATTCTAGTAATACTGATATAGGAAACAACAAAAGGGAAACATGAAGAGAAGAAAAAACAATAGAGAAAAGGAAGATCAGTTGCAAGTGATATCAATATTGGCACACCAAGGCTTCATGAAAGTGTGTTTAAACATCCTAATCGCAGTTCACATTTGAGCATTTTTCAATCCATTCAGAGAACACCTATACCCAATTACTTTCATCGTATCAGATATGTGAAGATGCTTAAATGGATCACTTTTGCATTTGGACAAATGAATCATTTTTTTCCACAATATTTTGATATGTTTAGCGAATAAATATCAATTTTTTATGCGTGATACATGTCAGAAATACTTTGAAAAGACTTTTTTAAGTGTTCTTGCTAGAGACATACGGAACCAAGTTTTTGGATCTCAGTGATTTTAAATTTTCTATTATCTGTCTCGATTGAGATAGAATGGATCCAATATTGATTGGTTTCATATCTAAAATACTTCTGAAATACTCGTTTTTTTTTTAATTTCTTTAGTCGACAATAGAAATATCTGGGGCTAAGATTACATTGTTCTGAGTTCTGGGAGCTTCTTTTAGAGCGATCTCGATCGTATTCTTAGTAAATCTATTATATTCATGATCGAGTTGAGCAGGACCAAGTTTTTGCTAGTCGCGAAACTAGTCCTGCACATTTCTAATGTTGACGTATCTTTTATCATGAAAATAACTGATTTTGATATTTTTCTGAATGAATATGAAAACATTCCCATGAAAAACATGATTAGACTGTGTAAACGGATTTTCAGAAAATTTCATCTGCTTTGATATAAATGATTTTTCAAGAATGTAAACAATGTTTATGATATTTTTGATAAGTTAATTGTTGTGATGATTCTTCGAAGAAAATAGATTTTTATTAGCCATTGGATTCATTTAATTTACAGATAGTTCAAATTAAAAACAGATTTTGAATAGATTTTGTAAAATTCATATTATTTTATATCCTGATTGGATTTGTTCAATTGTATATGTTCCAGTTGAGTTTGGAGTCTAGTTGAGATTGGAATCACTTAGTTCACTTTGTTTGTTTAAAAATTTGTCCAACACATATTCAAGAAAACTTGTTTGTTTCTTGTGAAATTTATATTTAGTATTACTTCTCGGATAATAAAAAGTATCTTCGTACTATTATTTTGTTGATGAAAAGCCATTAATCATTCTATTTATTGTTTCCTTCTAAAAGTAAATCTTACTCATCATTTTACTTATATTGTAGTTTCTATATCGGTGCTCGGAACATGGGGCATTGAACTATTGGTTGAAACGAAATCGAGAGTATTTGAGCTATTTGTTTCTATAGAATAGATTTTTTCGAGCTGCTGGACATGGCGACATTGAATGATTGGTTGAAACGAAATCGAGAGTATTTGAGCTATTCGTTTTTATAAAATAGTTTTTTTTCGATGCTCGTGATATGGGGGGATTGAATAATTGCTTAAATGTTTAGTGTTAGCAAATTCGTTGTTAAAAAATTGAAATTGAATAATTCATGCTATTTAGAATAGCAGCCGATCTGATGTTGAATTGATTAATAATTGGACTATAAACGGATTGTTGATAATCTATTCAATCGACTTATTGTGAGAAAGTTTATCAATGTAAGATTGTAGCTTAGAATTAAGAATGCTCATTTTTTTGTAAGGGTCGCTCCCCGATTCGTCCCATCTCAAATTCGTCCCACTCTAATTGAGTCCTAACTCGTCCCTTTCTCAATTCGTCCCCGATCCCAATTCGTCCCTTTCTTAATTCGTCCCTAATTTCATTTGAATGCACCTATTATAGTGACATCTTGTAGAGGATAATTACTAACCATTGTTAGGTAGTCATCGACACATCATGTCGTCAACAATTTTGGGGTGTGGGTGCGGGTGTGGGGGTGGGTATGAGTGTGAGGTGTGGGTGAAGAGAAGAACCACACCCATTCACAACCACTTCCACATCCACAGCGACATCCATACCCACACCCTTTACAATATAAGCTCTTGATTGATAGACAACTAGGGACGAGTTGGGAGTGACCGAAAAACGAGAAAGGGACGAATTTGGAAAAATTCAGAGTGGGACGAATAGGGGATGGGACCAATCAGGGGCGAATCGGGGGTAAACCTTTTGTAAGAGATTCACATGAAAAAAAAATTATATAATTTAAAACAAACAGACATAGAATGTGTTTCTTGATTGAATGTTCCATAGCAGTGAACATCAATCGATTAATTATAAGGCATAGAAGTTCGACCAATCATTTAGAATCGCTAAAATTACAAAAGTTGAATATAATAGTAAACAAACATTAATTATCGTGTGACTCATATTATTAACATGCATTCTAAACTCAACTGAATTCCCATGTCAACTGTAACATATATAAAGTAATACATGAAACTATTTTCTTTAATGATTGCCGATTAACTTTCTATATACAAATAAGATTAGACTTGATATTTTTTATGAAATTAATTAATACATTATTTAGATAATTTTATGTTTTGAATTTCAGATATAATTATTAAAAACAAAATGACTTTCTTATAGAATAATAATAATGATGAATAATCCAACAGATGAAATCGAAGTCTCTTCATCATCTAAAAACATCATATCAGCTACACGCTCATACTCAATTCGTGTTACTCAGCAATTAAATTTATTTTCTGATAATCCATTTTGGTCATCAACATTAAGTGTTTCTGAACAAATTCTTAGTACTCGACTTTTCCTTGTATTAATTTCAATATCTTTATTAACTGTTATTGGTTATGCTAGTTTAACAATTCGAACATATGATGTAACTCTAAATAAATTTTCTTTATCTGATTTTGAACGACTTGAAGTTCTTTATCGAAGTACAATTAAAGCTCCATGTACTCAAGTATCAATACCTTTTAATAAATTTTTGAATTTATCTTCTCAATTTCATCCAGTATGTTCAAGTCCATTTATACGAAGAAAATGGATATCTTCTTTATTTCTTTTCAATGTAACATCTCATAATATTTTGGATTATCGTACATTTGCTTTTGCTCAATATCGTTCTCTTCGTTTACTTTGTCATTTGTCACGTCGAGCTGTTAATGATGCATGTCGTGCATATAATACTACGCATTTAATTGATCGTAATGCTTTTTCACGAGTTCAATTTAATGAAATAGCTTCTATTCTTGTTGCTAATCTTAAAAGAAATGTTTTGACTAATGAAAAACGAACTGCAAATGTAGTATCGATGATAACAGCACAGAATCAATTATTATCAGCTTTACGTACAAATTATTACATTCATTCTGTACCTGGCTCAAGACAATATTTAACATATAATGCAGTTTATTTAGAACAAAATGGAACAGAAAAATTATCTTGTGATTGTAGACTAAGAGGAAATCAATGCACATATCCAGCTGGTGCTTTTTATAATTGGTCTTTACCTGAGCTAGGAAAACCAGCTAAAAATGATCCACCACCTGAATTTCAGGTAAGCTAATTTTCGTTTTATATTATTCAAAAAAAATTATTTTTAGCAGGAGAACAATTCCTTCCAAGCTATGTTGAGTAAAACAGCTTAAAAATATCTGCCGTTATGGCAATTATTTATGTATCAATAGAAATAAGCATTGTTTTTGCATGGAATTATAGAGATACATAATAGTAAATGATGTTTGAACACTGCCTATTTATTATATATTTTACTCTTTTTATATTAATGTAAAGTTCCTACCAACTTTTTTTTCCAGTATTTCATGCATCTGTCGATAGTTTGTATCGAGAATCTATTCAACGATATTAATTGCGTGAACTATAATAATATTTGTAACAAATTACACGATCAATAGTATGATCTCCATGGTCAATTTATTGAAGAAAACTAAACACTTTCAAATATTCTACGTTCAATCGCTAGAATATCGAAACTAACATATCTGGAAAAGTTTAAAAAACGAAGTTAAAATGAACGTTGTCATTCTTTCGCATTTGAATACATATTATTCTTAAGGTTAATATGCTTTGGTTAGTAATTAATTAACTCATTAGTTAATTTCAATGGGTCAATGTTTATATTTGTTTATGTATGCAATTATTGTTTTTGTCTACTTTCGTGTGTATTTTGTATAAATTATGTGCATATTTATCTTTATGTAGGAACTCTATTGATGACATAAAACATCTCATCATAAGTAGTAGGAAACATACACAGAATGTCATAAAGAACCAGATTGCACTAAATAAATGAAGTTGTATTATAGCAAAAGCTATGCATTTAAAGTAATAAACAGTTGAGAAGCCAGTAGAAGTTCAACTCATCCTACGGACCTTTGAGCTCGCTCTCTTCCTTCCTTCCAACCCAAAATTCTGGTTCTGCCACTAACAATGAATAACTCTATTATGAATAATTGGTCTTCTACACAAGTGATCCAACATGACACTATTTTCCATAATCGAAATAAGGTCTATAACAAGGTAGTATATGTAAATGAGCTAATAACGAAATTTACAATTGATGAAATGCATTTTAAGTGTTGGTTCTTTTAAAAACGATTTTTGAAGAAACATAATATATATTTAGATTCCTGGACTGATGGCTGGATGTATGCCACTTGATTCCATACGTCAATCAACTCTTGAATGTTTATATAATCAATCATGTATAAATGCAATATCACTTCAACCAAAAATTTCTCAACCAAAAGCTTTGAATACATCTTTATCTGGATTTCCAATAAATTCAACAATAGGTTCAATGTTTGATGAATCTTTATTTGTTGAATTTTGGCAAAATCAATCGAATTTTGAAAATTATTTCGCTGCTTGTGCACCTCAATCACTTTCGTATAGTTATGAAAGTCGATTTCATATTGGTACAATTATTACTATGAGTGTTAGTGCTTTCGGTGGTCTTGTTCTTGCTTGGCAATTAATTACGCCAGCTCTTGTTCACATTTGGAAACGAATTCAATGGAAAAAACTACAAACTCGTAAATTTACAACTGCACAAAAAACTGATGTAGAGATAGAAATTACGAAAATGGTACCAAAACCAATAAATAAAGGTTAGCAATACATATAACTATCCATTAAATACATATATACACCTTTAACAATATTTTCTTTTCAAAAAATAATTCGAACATATATACGTTGAACCAAAAGAAGAACGATCGATAAGTAGGGAAATCGGCCCCTCGAGATATTCGATTTCTTCTGTTATAAACTATCATACAAATTATCCGAAAGAGGTTTCTTGTATAATTAGTACTTTAGCACTTGTTTTTACTGTTTTTAAGTCGGCTGAAATGATTGACTACTATTACATGTACACTAAATCCAGCTATTGATAATAATTAGTTTATTTCGATTGTTAATTTGATGGCCAGTAAGGCTAGTTTTCTTATAGTTCGATAGTATTTTCCGTCCGCTACAAAATAATATAAAAGCATTCAGAAAAACTATTGATCAATATGTTTTCATAAAAACCACATTTCTTCGATGTGTCCACATTATGAGATATTATGTGTTTTCTATTGAAATGAAATGTTAATATGAATCAGTCTAATCATCCGTCAGATTGGTTTTAACATGGTCTGACAGCACTTTCCAAGCACTACAAAATGTTATACAAATGTTGAAAAAAAAATACTGACTATGGTTTCATTGAGATCGCACATTTTCTGATCGAAATCAAGTAAATACAAATGAAAAATCCATAAAATCATGTCTCGAGAATACTATCGTTATATTCTTTTTAAAGCAGCCAGTGTTTTTCGTTTCAAAACTTTAATACCATTTTATAGCGCTCGAAAACCACTATCAAACTATATGAATACTTTTCTGGCAGGCTTCTAACTGTTAGGTAAAAAAAGTCTGATTATCATTAACAGCTGGATTTAATGTACATGTGACAGTCATGGACTATTGTACTAAAGGACTGGTTTTACCAAAAACTTCTTCTATTTAGGAGAGCGATATTTAGAGCATAGATTCTAGGTGGCTGTTGTGATATTTCATGGCAAGTTTCATCCGTGTAACTCGGTCTTCACGGATCCGTTCAACGTTAATAATAGATATTAAATTGGTTTTCTCGATTATCTCCCCTGCTAAATTGCTGTAACTAGTATTGCCTAGGTCATCTTCAATACATTTCGACAGCTCAAAATCGGGAAGGCTAGTCCGACGTAAGAACACTTGGAAAACTTTGGCTTCATTAATTTCATTTTTGCTGTAGATAATGACGTTATTTTACATGTTGCACAAATAGATAGCATCATTAGACACAACAGAAACCACTATATGATAAATAATGAGCCGAATGTTATAAAAAAATTGACGAATATTATTGTTTTTGATATTGTTGAAAGAGACTGTCATTTAGAGAGCTTGTTTCTCTTGTTAACCTTAGTTTCAACAATGATTTTCATCCAATATTGCGATGACAGATCTAAGTATGATAGTCACGATTGGTATAACATTAAATCTGTTCATTCTCTAGAAACTCTTCCAAATGTTTGAGGGCTTAAAAAGTAGTGAAATTCTAGCAATAATTAAGGAGATCAATTTAATGTCTATGGTTTGCTTCAGAAGAATACCTGAAGAGTTAGTTAAAAAAGGATCTCTAGTGCAGAGAGATGGATGAAAGGCAACTTGTCTAGATAGATAGGGTGAAGTCCGAGAACTTTTGGATCATTCTATGTAGATTTAAATTCACGGTATGCACTCAACATAGCAATTCTTGAAGATGTTTAGTCTTCGGAAAACGAGCATAAAAAGTTCTATATTACACTATCATATGATTTCTATTAAAGTTTTCTTTGTAACATTTCTCGGTGAAACACAGAGTAAAGAATGTACTTTTGCACCTGTTTGTACAGCCCTTACTTTTCGTTTGATATAAAGTACGCATGCAACAAAAAGAGTCTAACATATAATCTATGTTTCAATTATTCTTTAGTTACTGTTATATAAAAGCAAAAAAACTAAGACAGTGGATTAAATACTACGTAGTATAGTTTCATGTCTGAGATTTAAAAAATATTGTACTCTAATTTAAAATATGTAAACAATGCCGTCGGTTCAAAAAAAAATAGTGACCGTGGCCATTTTTGGAATAATTCAAGAATGGAAAGAGCTAGAGAACATTCAGAGTTAAGGGGAAGAGAGAACAAGATCTCAACAATTCAGAGTACAACTGGGGAGTATAGTGGAGTGTAGCTGCATTCTAGAATACGAGAGTATTGCTTTGTCTTTCTTGCTCAGAGCTATAATAGTAAATCGAAGTTCGATTGAACAAATATTAACCAATCAAATGAGTGCAAAATAGAAATCTTTGAGAATGATATTTTAAAGCTAATTTCTTCTCGATCCAGACTTTTAATAGGATTAATCGATAGAAAAGGTCTTCTTTTTCGATCTACGCAAGATCGAAATTTTTAGCTAGCTCCATTCGAGAGTCATGAGAGTTCTTCGGAGACCTATGATTTCAGCTGATTCGCTTGTCATCATTAGAAAGGACAGCTAGAGTGAAGTAATTCATTATGCTGAGTCAAATGGTGATCTTTATTTTTAGATTCAAGATGACGTAACACTAATCTTAACATTTCCGAAATGTTGACTCCTCCTTTACACAAAAGCTAATGATGGGGTTTTAGAAATAATGAGATAAAAATGTCAGATCTGTCTTGAACCGAAAAACAAATGTTACCATTTGACTGAGTGTACGAAATTATCTCTAGAGGTAGACTATTTATTTCAGACATTAGATGTTAATACTTAAATTTTAGAGAAAAATTCTTAGAAAGATCAAAATATTCTTGCAAAATTTCGTGTTGACTTTTGAGTAGTCTTGATCAAATTGGAAAAGTAAACGACGAAAACCTTCACCTTTTGGATACCTTACAGTGCAGTGTGTTGGTTAGAAACAGTCTTATTAACCTCATCTCTTTCCTGCAACTATTACTAGTTGTAGTTGTATTTTGAAGGCAAGTCAGACTTAGAATTCTTTCATTCAATGGCTTGAGCTCCGCACATACTAGCCACTAGAGCCGATGCATATCTCTATGCAGTTAGCATGCTATTAGGTGGATGATTTGAAGTACACAATCCTGCATCATTTACCTAGGGTCATTTTATGTTGGGTATTGTCAAGTTTCACAAAAATTAAAAGAATAATTTTTTCTTTGTTTAGCTGTCACTGCTCATGTTCATCGAACAATTCATAATTTTAACTTATTTCCATCAGATAACAAAAATGATTTAGAGAAAGAATGTATTGGCATCATTGCTACTCGTCTTTATATTTTCTTAACACTTGTTGGTCTTATAATTCTTGGTTTTTATACATCTTTTTCAAAACGTGGTCATACATTTACAGTTGAATGGCCTTCACTTTTGCAATTTGAAGAACTACATTCAATGCATTCGTCAACATTGAATTGTCCATGTTCACGTTTTTCAATGTCATATGCTCGAATAATGTCTCTCTCTCCACGTTATCATTCGATATGTTCAAGTGAATATCTTGAAGAACATTGGTTATCTTATTTTGGTCATGTCGAACTTGATGTTGAGAGTATTTTATTTTTATCAACTGATTTTCGAGTTAGTGGTCAATCATTTTTTGATTTAATGCGCATATTATGTGAAACATCACGCGAAACAGTTGAACATGCATTAAGAATATTTCAATCGAATCGATTAGTTACAATGAATGCATTATCACGTTCACAATTTAATATTGAAACTATGACACGTATGAAACAATTTGAAAAACGAACAATAACTTCTTTTGTTGATCTGATCGAATTAGTTCGTTCATCAATTCAAACAAATCAATTAGCTGATGTAACTTGGACAAATGTTGGACCTTTATCACAATATAATAATGAAACATCCAAATGGTCATTTCGTTTTCGATCAAGAAATTTTTATACTAATTCATGTTCATGTGCTGTATCAAATCAATGTACTCGTTCTGTTGGTTTTTATTTTCAAACAGATACAATTCGTTCTCAACCTAATATAACTGTACCTGGTCTAGTTCTTGGTTGTTATACCATTGATTCTCTTCTTTTGTCTACATTAGAATGTTTTTACGATAAACAATGTGTTAAACTTGTTGTTGATAGTTACGACTTTGATGTTGTTGGTTTAGTTCGACCATTAAACAGTCATGCTGTTCAAATAGAACCACTTCGAAATGAGAATAGTCGTTTTTATCCAAATACAACAATAAATGAAATTTTTTCACAATTATTTGTAGAAGATTGGATTAATTCAAGTAATTTTACATCATATTATACACGATGTGCACCTACACAATGTACTTATACTATACGAGAACATATTAGTCTGACTTATATGTTGACTATGATGCTTGGATTTTATGGTGGATTAAGTGCTATTTTAGAAATAGTTTTACCGCCGATTGTTAAGGTAATTTTACAGCAATGGTCAAAACGAAAAAAACGAATACAATTAGACAATCTTAATAATATCACAATAGGTAAGATAATCATGATAATTTTATTCTGTTCATTAGAAAGAATACATTGACGATATCCTATGAATAAAATAGATTATCGAGGAAAACATGTATTTTAATTAATCTTCAACAAAAATTTTGGAAAAATGATTAGTAGATATTTTTTCTTTATTTTAATAGAAGTTATCTTTTGTGCTTGACTGAATAATAACGCTCAAACTTCGCATTGGAGTAAAAAATTTTCAGTTTTACTTAAAAATTTTCTTGATATCAAAAGTTCAAAAATAAAGGAAAAACATGATCCAAGATGTCATCCTGACATATTGACTCACTTGAATGTAATTGAAAGTTCTAAACTTAACTTTCAGTAGACAATAATTTTTATGAATCTTATGAAATCTGTTGAAATACAATAGAAGAGTTTTTCTAAAACAAGTCAACATATAAAATCAAGGACAAAGATGAGTTTTTCAAAATAGGAATCGCATGATTTTATTCATTGAATAATTTTCTTGAATTTTGCCTATATTATCGGTGGATTACAGCGCATTGATTTTGGATAATGAACTGAACACCTGATAGTTACCAGACGAATTCAATCATTTTTCGTAGGAAAACATTCTAAAAAATTTCCTAATTATTTCTGCCTGTATTTTGAATACTGTTTCAAATGTTATGAAAATGGAATCGACAGCAGTATCATGATTGAGAGGGATACTAAAATTTTTCAAAAGAGTCTTTCTCATTTTATTAAGCACAAACAAATGATTTCCATGACTGAGAGTGCATCCTCCTCACATCACACGTTCGTAGTCATTAGGGATGTGTACTATTTTAATCGATATGATAGAATAGGATTTTTTGCATAAATTCATTATTATTATAATGTATACAATTTCTGAAGTCATAATAGTTAGATCAAATGACGCAAAAATTCACTGAATTATAACAATTCGATTATGAAAAAGGAGAGATGTTGTGAAATCCATTGTTTTCTCGTTGCATTTGATTTTAGTGCGTCATGTTGACTGCGATAGTAAATATGATGAATGAATTGATTCCTGTAGGATTTTGATTCTAAATAGAAAACATTTCTCTATCGGAAATATTTCGATTGAAGGCGATATATTGTTATATGTCACGTTCCAGTAAACATCTAAATTATTCAATCAACTAAGTCGAATTCAAGTACAAAGAGTTACATTTCGTCGTATCCGGCTTTGTGTCTAGACTAAATTCTAGACCTAATTTTCATTCAACGTTGGATATGAACACAATTGACCTACACTCAGACTATGTTACTTTTTCCTCTTTTTCAAACATGATTTCATTTATATAAATACAGCTAAAAGTGTCTCATACAACTGAAGATATTGACTCTACTGCTAGTTTGAGCTTCTTTTTGTGTAGAATCTTATTAAAGAAAAACTTGAAGCTGAATTTTGTCAGATCAGGAACATGTCTCAGTTCAAATATTTTATTTTTGTCGCCTTTGAGTTTGAGTACTAACTCACAAAAATATGAACTGGTAGCTTCGAATAGTTCATTGGTAGTGATATTATATGACAACTATTGTTATGAACAAGACTGTAAAAGATCTAATAAGTATCTGTTCTATTCTAGATACAATAATGGATTCTTCATCAAAAGAACCATCTCATTCTTCTAAGAATACTTCTGAAAAATTGTTATCATTGAACTTATTTGAGAGCAAGCAATCTTCGACAGAGAAACGATTTCTACATGAAGAAATCATTGCTACTCGCATTTATATATTTCTATTCCTATTATGTTTAATTGCTACCATTATTTATTCTGGTCCATTCAGTAATGAAACAAAATTGATCGAAGTAAAATCTCCAACAATGAATATTGTCAATGATCTTCATCAGAAAAATATTTCAAGTCTTTCATGTCCTTGTTCAAAAGTAGCTATTCCTTATTCGAGATTTCTATCAATAAAACCAGATTATCATTCAATATGTTCAAGTGAATATGTTTCTCCATTATATAGTATTAATTTATTAAACAAAAATGATAGTTCATCATTAGCATTAAGCACTCACTATCGTGTATTACGTTCACTTTGTCAATCATCTCATCGTTTTATCGAAAATGCTGAAGAAGTTTTTGGTACTCGTGAACTGATTAGCATAGAAACATTAACTCGCTCTTCATTTGATTTTCAAATACAAGCGTTAATTTCAACATTCATTTCTCAAACTCCAGCTGATTATCGTCGAACACTTTCATTTATAGTTAATTCATTTAGTACTAATCAACTATTACATCTTTTTACAAGTAACTGGCAAATTAATTTTAGTGATGAAAATGAAAATTATATAATGAAAACATTTCCACAACATTTTTCATCATCAAACTGTAGTTGTGCAATATCATCAAATTGCAGTGAACAATTAACAGATGATATTCTTACTGGTTGTTTTCCTTATTATGGATTTCGTTTATCGAAATTTCAAAATTTATCATTAGGAAAATTAAGTGATGATTTATTTATAGAAACATGGAATAATAAAAGTAATTATACAAATTATTTTGAAGCATGTCAACCATTAGAATGTCGATATACAATATCGGATAAAAATAATTCCATATTTATATTAACAACACTTTTAGGATTATACGGAGGTAAACCAATAGAGAAATTTCTATCAAAAGTTCGTTGCTTTATGCTTAGGTTTGAAATATTTTTTACGTTTGTTTACCGATCAATCATTACTTGCTTATCGATGGTGGATTAAAAATTCATTGAAAGCAACAAATACAATCGAAATTAGCTGAGTCAATGCTTATTTTAAAATAATGTTAATACATACTTTTATTTTTTGCTTCTTAAATAAACTATGTATTAATATTCTTGAAAGTTTTTCATTTTAATATTTTTCTTTAGAGCTGGATAAGTACGGATTTTCTCGAGTATGAGTACGGATAAGAGTACTAATACTGCGAAAATCGTACTTACAAACAAGAATTTTGAACATACCAAGAACATGTGCAACTGTTTAATAACATAATCGTTGAAAAGAATTACATGTAATTTTACATCAAATCGAGCGCGAAAGGGTGTGGGTGTGCGTGTGGTTTTTCTATTTGTCCACACCCGCACCGACACCCACCCACACCCACCTGCACTTACACACACAGCCACCCACCTGCACTCACACACACAGCCACCCACACCCACACCCTTGCAGGGTCGGCGTCATTACTTTTGGTATGCCCTAAGTAATTATTAGCAAAACTTATTTATTTTTTCTTAATAAAATTTTCAAGCATTGATAAATATTTCGAATACATAAATAAATAAATAAATATTTGTAGTTATTTTTAAATTTTTGTTATAAAATTAAATAGAACCAATATGTATATCATATTCATCGTAATCATAAAAAATTGTTTGTAGATACTTCAA